CTTCAAACTGCTCTAGGTACTACATTGGGGTTTAGTACAACTTTCCATCCTCAAATTGATGGATAATTTGAGTGCACTATCCAAACTTCAAAGAATATGCTTCAAGCTTGTGTTATGGAATTCAAAGGTAATTGGGATGATCTTGTATCTTTGGTTGAATTTGATTACAATAATAGTTATCTAGCTTCAATTGGGGAAAAGAAGTTGTTGGGCAATGAGATTATGAAGATTACGTCCGACAAGGTGAAAATAATTCAAGAATGGTTAAAAAGTACTCAAAGCAGGTAGAAGAGTTATGCTGATAATCATATGATGAATTTAGAGTTTGAGGTGGGTGATTGTGTTTTCTTATGGATTTCTCCCTGGAAGGGTGTTATACAATTTGGGAAGAAGGGCAAATTGAGTCCACGCTACATTGGACCGTTTAAGATATTAGAACAAATTAGAGATGTAGCATATCTTTTGGCTTTACCTTCGAATTTGTCACGAATTCACAATGTGTTTCATGTATTTATGCTCCAAAAGTATTTTCCAGACCTGTCACGTGTATTGACTATGGAACCCAATAAGTTGAGTGAAGATTTTTCCTACATTGAGTAGCCAATAGAGATTTTGGGTCATAAGGAGAAATTTCTTCGCACAAAGACTATTCCATTAGTGAAAGTTTTGTGGTGAGGTCGTTCAATGGAAGAGGCAACATCAAAGAATGAGGAGACTATGCGAGCGCAGTATCCCAATTTGTTCCTTGATGGTAAGTAATTTCAAGGTCAAAATTCTTTTTAGTGGAGGAGAGTTTGAGACCTAGACACGTATTGCATAACATTTATATAATGCTAGGGTTTAATGTGTGATTTGTGTTATTAATTGTGGGGGTTAAATTACGATTATTAAAATTATGGAAGTTAGGTGATATTGTTAATAAATAACCCTAGGGGTTGAATTTTATTGATGGTGTTATGTTTGGGTGTAATTTTGTAGTTGATGTAAACTAAGTGGGGGTGTGTGTTTGAGTAGATGAAATAAGCAGGGACCTAAGTGTAATATTGGCAAAAAGGGTGATCCAACAGGGACACCTGCGTCTCTCTCTCTCACTCATCTCACTCTTCCTATAAACATACATATATGTTTTAGGTTTGCACATAAGAACCGGTACAAGGGAGTGAGTGAGTTGGGAGAAACACCCTCCGGTGGTGAGTTATAGTTTTCTTTGTTTCGTAGTCAGCATGGAGTGGAACTTTTGTCGCTTGAGACTTACAAATCTCAAAACAAGGATCAATTGTTGGTTGGTAAGGAGTTATTCTAAATTTTGTTTTCAATTTTATATGTTTGTAGATGTAGTTTTGAGTGTTAAATTTTGCATTTTAGACTTTGGGTTTGTTCTTAGTAAAGGATTTTTATGGAATTTATAGTTTTAATTGATTGTTAAGAGTTTAACGGTTGTTGTGTATGGAGAGATTTGGGGGTAGGAAATGTTTGAAGTGTTTATGGAGAAGAAAATCCATGAATGAACCAATACAAGTGATGTTGTACCGGTACAATGAGTTATGGTTTGAAACAAACCAGAACAACTTTCAACTTTAATTGTACCAGTACAGGGACATTTTTGCCTTGACGAACCGGTACAAGCAGTTTTAGCTTGAGTGTCTGTAGTAGAATCATGATAACTCTATCTAGAAAATTTCTATTGATGCACCATTTTTTTTAACACCTACACTTGTAGATATTTTTAATCATATAGGGAACAACACCTAATTCTATTTGTGTCAAAATGGTGGCCATTAAAAGTGGACTGAAATTCTGCAACTATTAAACAAGCTGCCAACTTAGTGTTTTTCAGGAAAAATGAGATAACTTTTCACATGTGAATCCAATTTTAGTTAATGATCTATGATTGTAAATCTTGGAATGTCTAATCTAAGATGACATTGGTTTCACCACATAATTCAAATTAAATAGAGAGTTTTAATTAGAAGATTGCGGGTCAGCCAATCTAATCAATAAATATGAATGCCAAAATTAATGTGTGTGTTTGTACAATCTAAACTAAGGATTTGATTTACATTACATCACTTGGGAAGGGGTTTGGATTAATCTCAAGTCAAACATGGATACACATTTACGCATGCGTGAACATAGAATAAGCATATATGAATAATACTCATGCGTCTTGTGATGATGTGTATTAGATGCGAAGGTGACAACATCTATGTCGGGTCCACCTAAATTTACACAGGGGGATATAGTTTGGAATTGGAGTTGAACTGAGGTGAGTGTATTGATTCATATTGATTGAAAATATATTTGATTGGTTACTAGCTAAATTACTAGCAATATTTGTGTGCAAATGTCTTGATTGTGACTTGTGGTTGTGATTGGTGGATTGTTGTTGGTTATGGTTTCAAGTACTTGAAATTTTTATCCTGTATTTTCAAATGAGAATGATTTTCGAAACTCTCGAGTGTAAACGGGTTGCGATGTTATTGTCAAGACTCCCGAGCGAAAATGGGTAGTCGTTTGTTCTTGTCGAGACCTCCAAGCATTATTGGATTGTCGAATATTCGAAAGTTGTATTCCACACGTATAGATTATGTGGGATATATTGTTATTTCTGTTGTGAATATATATATTTTTCATTCTCTAAGTCTTAAATATATTCACTAAGCATATGGCTTGCTCACCACCAATAGTTGCTTATTTTCAACTACTGATTTTTTAGGTGGTGGTCCATTGAACAGTCTAACATTGCGTAGATGTGTTGACATTAGTTTATACACTGTGTTATATGCCATCTTGTGCACAAGTTATAAAGACATTTTAAGGGCATGGTGCCCTAATTGGTTTTATTAGTGCACAGGTTAACTATTGTTTGTTGTTATATGATGCTAGAGTAAATAAACAGGGTGACACACCACCCTATCTCTTTTCCAGGATGGGGTGTGATAGGTAAGGAAGGCAGTGGACTGGGCAAAAATGAGTATTCATCTAAACCACCCCTTTTGGATCGAAGATGGACCGTACGTATTGGATGGTGGACATATACAGGGATACTCACATAAACCCATGCGGGGATGAAGGCGGGGGTGTATTGACACTTACCCCCACCTCGTCCCACCCTACCCTCGCTATACCCGATATATATAATTAAATGTACTCTCAAGTCCCAAACGAAGCCGTAACTGACTCCTCTATGCCTCCACCTCCATATAGTGTCTCCATCATTGGCTGTCTTTCTTGTATGCTATGTCTTTCTCTTTCTCTCTCCATCATCTCTCTCTTCATCATCTATCTCTCCATTGTTGAATGCAGATCTCTAATGTTGACCTTCATCGACTATCTCCATCATCTATTGATGGTTGTCGACTGACCAGACTAGGTAAGTCTCTCTCTCTCTATCTTTTTTCTCTACATCATCCTATTGATTGCTGCCTCAAATCTTACAGCAAAGCAATTCGTACAACAGTAGGTTAAATCATGTTTTGGCACTTCACACCCAAAAAAGATTCGTATTTATCTGGTTAACAATATATTTCTCTATAATGAGTATTGGAGAGCCGCTTTTTTTCAAGATCCCTGTGTCTGGGATGCATTAGGACTTTCTGCATAGCTTAATTTGTTCGTATGGTTATTTGCTAGCCCAATACTGTCCAAAAAGAAGATACTTATTTTGATGGGTTCCTTTAGGCTGTTAAAGATTTACATGTTTTTCAAAAATTGGTTTTGGATGAAGAATTTTTTATTTCTTTTCAGATATATAGTTCACCTAGTGAACAAATATTTTGTAGGCATGGATTTTATCAAAAAATAAAGGAGGGGGAGGTATTTATTCTGTTTTAGAGAGAAAAACTCTAACTTCTCTCTACACTGTTCCTTTATTTTTTTTCATTTTTTTGCATTTTGTTCTTGATTTATGTAATTCTTCATGAATTCTGATCAATCTCAGCATCAAATTCCTCCAAAACCTCCTGATATCACCAAAAACTTTGGCTCATTATTCAAGAATTCTTTGAATTTCTTGAATTCTTCGAACTCATCAAAAATGGATCTTGGTATTGGTAATAACTTTCTATCATCTGTGAATCAATTCAGTCATGAAAAACCTCTGTTCATGCCTCCTAATCTTCCTTCTGTTTCACTAAATCCTTTGATTTCTCAAAATCCTTCGAATTCTCAAATTCATTTTGTCTTCTCATAATCCTTCGAATTCTCAAACTCATTAAACTTCTCATGTTCAATTGGCTTCTCAGATTACTTCATCTTCTCAAACTCCTTTATCTAATGATGAGCAAATACATTTTTTTGATGTTTCAAAGAATGTCATTTCATCTGTGCCTATACCTAAACTAGCAAAGAGGGTGGTTTACAATAATGGGGAACCAGGGATGTATGAGACATCTAAAAAAACTCAATATCTATCTTCTAAATTCCAGGAAACCTTTATTGGGAAATGTGCTTAAGGAAAGCCTTCATTAGGGGTCATTTGAGAGTTTATGGCTACAATATGGATGCCTAAGGGTGAGTTTTTTTTTTTGGGATCTTGGATACTCGACATGTTCTGATTTTTTTCAATTTAAATGAGGACTACGTTAAGACTTGGTTAAAAGATGCTACGTATATTGAGGGGTTTCTTTTTTGATTTTTCCAGTGGTTCCGTGAGTTTCTCCCAGTTATAGAGCCTCTATTGGTACCTGTTTGGGTGTATCTACCTTGCCTTCCCATTCATTTGTTCAATAGGGAAAGTCTTAGGGATATCTTGAGTCCAATTGGATGCATCTTGGTTATTGATTCACCAACTTTGTAGTTGACAAGATACGGGGTTGCTAGGATTTGTTTGGAGGTGAATTTGCTAGCCAGTAACCCTTAGAGGTTTGATTGGACATGAGGTGTTAGTGGGAGATGGCAACGAATTATATATGAGAAATACTGTAAGTACTCTACATTTTGTCTTAAGCAAGGTCATGATGATTCGTCTTGTAAATAAAAGGAGTGGTGAGGGTAAAAATATGAAAGGGGAGAAGGGTCATCTTCTTGATGTTGATAAAAAAGCAGAAACAGGAAAAATATTAGAGAAAGGGAAGGAGATTGAAAATGGATGTAGAGTGGTTAAGGGAAAGGAGGCTCTATGGATAAATAGAAAGGAATTCAGATCTCTGAAGATCTAAAAACCTCATAATTTCTTTCCAAGCAGGGCAATAATAGGGGGAATGTTGCTTTTATACACGAAGGTAAGTTTGATGTATTAGGGAAAAGGGAACAGTCAAGGGGTTTGAACGGAATGTATCTGTTAGGGGTGCTGATGTGATTGCTTTGGAATCTGAGACAGTGGAAGTTGAGAAGGGTGGTACAACTAATAAGGACTTTTGTCCTGATGTATCTCTTCGTAGTCCTAAGTCAGTTAAAGGGAATGAGAAGCGTTTGTCAAAGGAAAAGGGGGTGAAGCTGTTAAGGGAAAGTTTTGAGGTACTCAAATTCATGAGAAGGGAATGAAAGAGGTTCTGTGTATGGAGTATGAAGAGGCCTTCAATGTAGAGAAGGTGGATGAAATGGTCTATTGAAGTAGTGGCTAATACAAAATCTGAATGTTCTTGTAGACCTCTTTATTCTACGTTGATCATCAATTTTCTTGTAGAAGAAATGCTTCGTTTTTTGTTGATGATGATAATGGCCTTGTTAGGAAAACCAAGCTTCCAAATAAGGAGTATAGTTCTGATAAAGGGAGCTTTGAGTGTTTGGAAAATAATGAAGAGTCTTCCGAAGAATCTGGGGGTGATGAGTCAGTTGATTCAGATCCTAACTTTATGGATACATCTTCTATAGAGGCAATTATTAGACATGTGTCTAGAGGTAAATTTCAATCTCAATATAAATGATTAGTTTTTTTGTCATGGAACATCATAGGTGCAGGGAAAATTGTACAGAGGATGAGGTTAAAAAAGCTGGTTAAGATGAATAATGTCTGTATGGATGCCATTTTGGAGCCTAAAATGAGGGAGGATAAAATGCATAATTTGTCACGAAGTATTAATCTTCCTAATTTCATTTGTAATCCTCTTACTAAAAAAAATATATGGTTGTTCTAGGATGCTAGGATTAAAGTGAAAGTGTTTGCTCAACATGAACAAGCCTTAACTATTGAATTATCGTTTCTGGATTCTGAGGTGGTGTATGTTACTATTGTATATGCCTTATGTGATCATCTTTTGAGAAGATCATTGTGGATTCATTTGTTGAATTTGTAAATTGTACCTTCTGCAGCATGGATGGTTGTTGGGGATTTCAACTCTATTGTCAATTCAGAGGAAAAGTTGAGAGGTGTTTTTCCTTCAATTGTAGCAATGACTGATTTTTGGAATTTTGTTAAATCTGATGGTTTGATGGATCGTGGTTTTGCTTTCATTTTACTTGATGTAGTAATCATAAAGGGTATACTAGGATGTGGCAAAGGATAGATAGGGTGAATCCTAATTGGTACTGAAGTTTGTTAGTACTGAAGTGTTGCACTTGGGAAGAGGGAAGTCTAATCATATTCCTCTGCTGCTAGGAATAACTGATTCTCTTCAGTAGAGGATCTCCTACTTTAGGTTTCAAGATATATGGGTTAAAGACTCTAGTTTTGTGCCATTAGTTACATCTTGTTGGGCTGGAAAATATGATGAGGGAACCCTATTGAGAATATGTTTTTAAAGATTAAGTATCGTAAGGTTCATCTGAAGAGATGGAATAAGGAGTCTTTTGGGAATGTCTTTGAGAGAATCAGATTGAAGTAGCAGAATGTGCATAATGCAGAGATGCTGCTTGAGCAGGATAATTCTTTGGTGAATAATAATGCTTTAGAAGTGGCACATAATGAACTTGATGAGGTATTGAGATTGGAAGAGATTTATAGGAGATAGAAAACTAATATGAAATGGGCAGTTGATGGGGCAAAGAATACCAGATTCTATCATGCCTTAGCCAAAGGCAAAGCAGTAAGGGGTAGAATAGGCAGAATTCAGAAGGGGGATGGTACGTGGATTCAGAATGATGAGGAGATAGGAGAGGTGGCTGTGGATTTTTATTCTTGCCTTTTCAAGACAGAGTAGCATGAGTTGCAATCTGAAATCTTTTCTATGATCCCCCGTTGGTTACTGAGGAGGATAACTTGAGGCTTACAGGGGAAGCTACTATGGAGGAGGTTAAAAGTGTGGTTTTTTCCATTTCGCTTCATAGTGCTCCTGGTTCAGATGGTCTTTCAGGGAAATTTTTCCAAGTTTCTTGGGAAATCATCAAGGAGGATGTGGTAAAAGTAGTTAATTTTTTTATAAGAGGAGCTAAGATTCCAAGATCTGTAAATGCTACCTTATTGCTCTTAATTCCCAAGAATTTGAATCCTATATCATTTGTTGACTATAGGCCAATTAATTTATGTAATTTTCTTTACAAGATTTTTACTAAACTATTGACTGCTAGGCTTGTTCCTTTATTACCTACTTTGGTATCAGTTGAACAACATGGGTTTGTTAGGGGAAGGAACATAAGAGAGTGTATTTCATTGGCTCAATTGAAGGTTGGGGAACTGGATAGGAGGGTGGAGGTAGGCAACTTGATTTTGAAATTAAATATGATAAAGGCCTATGATAGGCTTGAATGGGATTTTTGGCTCAAGACTTTGGCCTGTTTTGGATTTTCTGTTTTATTTGTCAAGATTGTTGCTAATTGCCTAAGGAGTCAGCATGTTTTGGTTTGTGTTAATGGAAAGAGGAGGGGTTTTTTTCCTGTTTCTAGAGGGCTTAGGTAGAGGGATCCTATTTCCCCTTGTTTGTTTATTCTTGCTGATGAAGTGCTTAGTAAAGGGTTGACGAAGTTATATCAAGAGGGTTTGGTGAAGGGGTTTCACTTGGGAAGAGGCACTACTTTGGTAAGCCATCTTCTTTTTGTTGATGATACATTGATATTTTTGAAGGGCTATAAGAAATCCTTATTCAATTAATGGATTTTCTTTAAGTTTATGAGGGGTGTTCTAGACAGATAGTTAATCCTCATAAGAGTTCTATGTTTTGTACCAAATTTTTAATTGCTGGTAGGAGGCAGGTGTTGATTGATGTTGCTAGTATACCTATTAAGTCTTGCCCTTTTACCTACCTTGGTTGTCCTATTTTCCAAGGAAGGGTAAGATATTTTGAAGATATCTTGACCAAATTTTGGCAAAATTTGGAGGGTTGGTACACTAAAATTTTGTCTAATATGGGTAGAATTTTAATGGTTAAGGCTGTTCTGAGTGCTGTCCCAGTGCACCTTTTGGCTTGTTTGAATTTACCAAGAGTTGTAATTTCTAAGCTGAATGCTAGATGGCAGGATTTATTTGGTCAAGCAAAAGGGAGGATAAGAAAAGGCATTGGGTTTCTTGGAGTAAGGTTACTTTGCCTATAATAAAAGGAGGTATGGGTTTGAGAAAATTTGAGGAGATTCAGGTTGCTTTTAGACTAAAGCAAGTTTGCAATATTATGTAGGGCTCTTCTTTGTGAGGTAAAGTCTTTTCTGCAAAATTTTTACAAGGGAAACATATTTTGTGATGCTTGGGTAAGGGGCGTGCAAAGTGTTTTGAATCTTTAAGGTCCTATTTTGAAAAAGTTATGCTTCAGTCGAAGGCCATTATTGGAAATGGGTTGTCTGCTAATTTCTGGTGTGATTGTTGGATGAGTGATGTTCCTTTGTTGAGGAGAATTGAGGGATCCCTTTAGTTTTTTCCTAAGATTTTTAATGTTTTGCTGGATTCTCAGTGGTGCTTGAGTGAGGTGGAGCAGTTTTTGCCATTGCAGATTAAAGCAGAAATTTTGAGTTCTAATATTTTTTTGTTTGGTATCTCTAATAAGTTGGTATGCAGGCAGACTAGTACTGGGGTATTTTTTGTTAAATCAGCTTGGCAAGTGATTAGAAAACAAAGGGAGAAGAATGAAGTTGTTAGTGCTATTTGCGGATTGAGCACAACCCCTAGTTCTATGTTGATTGGTTGGAAAATTCTGCGGGATGCTCTTCCTCTAGATTCTAGGGTTCGTAAATTGGGTATCCTAGTAGTTAGTAGATGTTCTTTGTGTTGCCATGATTCTAAATCCATTAAGCACCTTTTTGTGGATTGTGAATTTGCCAACACTATTTGGATGCGTGTGGCTAAACTAATAGGATTTTAGCTGCTAGCAGGTGAATATCCTTTGACGAGAATGTTGAGGATAGGCAGAATTTAAAAAAAAAAAATCCTTATGTCATGGTTTGGTTAGGAAAGACGGAGTCTCTCTTCTCATTTTTTGGCAAATTTGAAAGGAAAGGTGTAGAAGAGTTACAAGGGAGGGTAAATTTTTCCTTATTCTATTTTTAAAAGGATCTGTAGTTTGCTGAGGTATCAAGCAAGAAATGTTAGGGTGAGGGTGCAGGAGGATGGTGTGGGAACGGAATTTTACATGTTTTGGGAATTGAACTACCTTATCGACTGATTACTAGATATGCTTGGGTTTGCAGGGAATGTCCTGGGACTGGGATTTTAAATTTGAATCTTAATGGTGCTTCAAAAGGGAATCTTGGCCCTGCTGGAGGGGGAGCAATACTCAGAAATGAGTATAGCAAGGTTGTGGTTGCTACTTCTTTTTATTATGGTCAGTGTACTAATATGGTAGCTGAATATAAGGCTTTGTTGGATGGCATGAATTTAATTGCTAAATATGGGTTGTTGAGGTATGAGATTTTGATTGAATCAAAATCTTTGACATTGGTGAATGTTGTGTTAGGGAAAGTAGAGCGCCCATGGTCTTGTTTAGTTTTCCTTACTCAGATTAAAGATGTTTGCAGAAAATGGAAAAACATACTAGAGAAAATGGTGAACCCAAATCGAAAGGATTGGTCACTTAGGTTGACAGATGCCTTGTGGGCTTACTACACTGCTTACAAATCCATCATAGGTATGTCTCTCTATAGGCTAGTCTATGGCAAGGCTTGTCATTTTCCGGTAGAGATGGAGCACAAGGCATATTGGGCCATTAAAACCTTGAACTTCAATTTGAGAATAGCTAGAGAGAATAGAAAGTTGGAGGTGAATGAATTAGAGGAAATTCGTAGAGATGCTTATAAGAGATCAAAAATTTCCAAAGAAAGGGCAAAGATTTTTCATGACAAATCCATTGTGAGAAAGACATTTGACCCTGGACAAAAAATGCTCTTGTATAATTCTAGACTCTCCATTTTCAATGGGAAACTCCAATCTCGTTGGGATGGCCCCTATCTTGTCAAGGTGGCTACCCTAATGGAACCCCGAAGATGGTAAATCATTCTAGGTCAATGACCAAAGACTTAAGTTATTCTTCGAGGGTTTTGAGGTTCAACTGCTGGAGGAAGAGTTGATGGATCTGGTTTACCTAGACCTTGTTAAGGAATAATTGTTCAAGTAGATTTTAGTATACAGTCGCTTTCTTTTATCATTTACCTTCCAAACTAATTTATTTACTTACTTTCATCTTTGCATAGTTTTCTTTCTTCAAATGTGCAGATTATGGTGTTTTTGTCAAAGCTCATTGTGAGGTGTTCTCTAACCCTACTTATCTTTGTAAGTCCATTATTGCATTCCATATTTTTTTGTTTCATTGATGACAATGCATAATTCAAGTTGGAGGGGTGAGGTGCACCATTTGTATGATACACCAAATTTTTTGTTGATAATACCATTTTGTGGTGAAATTCATCATTCACATATTTGACCTAATTTTTTGTAAAATAGTTGCAAAATATGTGAAAATTTTAAAAAAATTGTGAAAAATATCTAAATGTTGAACCATATTTTCCTATTCAGAGTGTTATGGGTTTAATGATAGTGAGATCTTTACTTTGAACTTTTAATATATGAGCA